ACATATGTTTGTAAACATTTCACATACACACACACACCCAGATCCAGAACGACGATTTGCAGATCGGGAGTGCGGGAATCAAACCCGAGACACGTTGCACGGTAGCCAGTTGCCCAGCTACCTCGCCAACCTTGCCGTATTATCATTGAGTGGGAATGGCATGGAAAATAGCGACTGTTGAACGAAGAGGCAATAAGCTTTACTATTGGTTCTGGTTGTATAAAAACTACAAATGGCACTAAGGTATCGAGGTGATCCCACAGAAAACCAATTTAGTTGAAATTTTATGTGTATATCTATACTAATATTATAAAGAGGTAAAATTTGTATGTTTGTAAGTTTTTATGTAGGGGGGTAATCTTTGGAACTGCTGGTCGGATTGCCAAAATTCTTCCACTGATAGATAGCTACAAGGTTCCTGAGTGGTATAGGCTATAAAACATCACGATACGATCAAATGGAGCTGAGCAGCGGGTGAAACCGCGCGAGAGTAGCTAGTAGGTGATAAACTGGATTAACACATCAGCTGATTTTTATCGACATACCACAAAGCCGCTGGCAGAAGCTAATAGATGTTATATTTGATTGTCATTGTACTTGAAAGGATCAATGAATATAATTGCGTCAAATAGCCTCCAATCAAAATCTGATTATTGATATCTTAAAATCTATTAGCGTGGTAGTCATGCGACAATGTAACTGATGATTACCAGGTATTCATGATTCTTATCGCATTTTAATAATTATTGCTCGTTTTTAAGGCTCTGTATCTTGTTGTTGGAAAAATCATGAAAAGGCTTCTTATTATTTCAAATCAAATCAATCAAAATCAAATCAAATTCTTTATTTCAAATAGACCAAAAAAGGCACTTTTGAACGTCAAGCAAAAAAGATATCATAAGGTTTAACTTTATATGTGTCAGTCTGTCCGTCTGTCCTCTAGTGAAGCTATTTTTATAAAACGTTGCCCCACATTAGGATTTGCTCCTGTGTCGTGGGTGCGGTTACAAACATACAATTTCACATACACATGACACCCAGACCCGGAACAACAATTTGTGGATCACACAAAGAGTTGGTCCGTGCGGGAATCGAACCCGAGACACGTTGCACGGCAGCCAGTTGCCCAGCCACCGCACCAACCGTGCAGTCAAATCAAGTCGTGCCTTCTCGCGCAGGGTATGGCTAGAGAGAGTGTGAGACTCTTACAGACTAAAAACTCACAGTTCCTTCTCATGCTTTAGGCCGAGGCCGCGGTACCTTATTGCGTTAGCTCTGCAAAAATTGTCTTATACTCCAAGTGTAAGACTTTTACTGACTAAATACCATCGACCAGAGTCATACCACGGCCTTACAAAAAACCGGCGTGAAACAACCACAACGTTGTGTTTCGCCGTGTGAGTGAGGTTACCGGAGGCCCAATCCCTTCCCAATCCCTAAATCCCCAAAATCCCAATCCCTAAAAGGTCGGCAACGCACTACTTCTTTGTTGTGGGTGTCCATGGGCGACGTTGATTGCTTACGATCAGGTAATCCGTCTGCACGTTTGCCGTCCTATCACATAAAAAAAAACCATCCCGTTTCTATTCCTGCTTCGGGCCCGCTACATTATTTCGTTTGTACCAGTAAACCCGAATATGAATTTCTTGGTAGCTAAACTTTTTACAGTTTTACCTTGCTGTATAAACTTATCAATATTATGTGTTTTAGTCTTTTTATTTAATGTTATTAAACGCAATTATATATTTATATATTATTTTTATGTATTTAACTTAGAATTGATTTACACCTCCACCTCCCGTAACTTCCTAAATTGCTGTATCTCATCTACCACACATCTCTGCACTACCAAAAGGTTGACTGGCTGAAAATGCTTCTAGCATTAAGTCCTCCGATATGCAATTGTATAAAAAGAATAAATAAATAAATAAATATTTCATACGAAACATTTTTCTGGTACTTATAAGGCGGCAAAAGAGAAGAACGTCAAACGACTTGAACACACTGCAAAAATGCAGTGCTCTTAAAGGGGATGGTATTGGACCTCCGGTAACCTCACTGGCTTGAAGACATACAGCATAAGTATATACAGAATCAAACACGCGCGAGTTCGATGTGCATGTCGCCTAAATTTATTGGAAAAAATCTACAAGTGAATAACTAAGTAAATCCGCTAAGTAAGGCATATAATTTTCCCTATTGACAACATTGCAGGTAATTTGAGAGCAATTTTGATAAAGATTATTGTTTTATTCCGATTCTTAAGTAATTACCTAATCATAATGGATTAAGTTTCATTAACATTCCATTGTAAATTTAAGAGGAAAATAAATTGTTTTTTTGGCAAAATAACTTAATAATACATTTTATCAAGTTGGCTAACGCTGCAGGTTTTTACAAAACGTGGTTAACACGTGGTTTGCGGTGATAAGATTGAAATTATGAATATTATCAACAAATAATTAATGCAGCATTTTGTGTTATCACTTTAATTGCGCAGTCTAGACTGAAGTTAATTTCGAAACATAAAAACATTATGGGGCACATCATTATTTACCTTAACGAACATGGCGATTAATGACATAATTAATTAAAGTCAAAAATTATAGAAACTAGGTACTGAACCAATTTTAATAAAACTTAAGTACCTACTTTTACGCCATAATACGTATCAATGTAGATGTGCTTGTGAATGGGACGGATCGAACGGAGTGATACCACGGCCCTACAGAAAACTGGCGTTAAGTACCGCTTACGCTGTGTTTCGCCATGTGAGTGAGGTTGCTGTCTAAATCTTCCTCTTCCTATCATCGATCCTCAATTCCTCTGTCGTTAAATCCCTAATTACCCATAAGACGCCGGGAAAGCACCTAAAGTAACTCCTTCGATATGAGAGAGGCATTGAGATTGTCTATGGGCGGCGACGATTGCATGTAATCCGTCAGTACGATTCCAGCCATATAAAATAAACAAAATAAATTAAAAATCATTTAATTCCGACAAAAAAGACCATAGCAGGCAAAGGTTGTTAGTGATGAAAATGCTTGCTTTATAACTACTTATACGTGTTAGTTCATATTTAAAAGTAAACAAGTTGACTGGTGAGAATGCCTACGGCATTAAGTCCGCCTATGTAATGTTTTGTTGCATGCAGTTTAAATAAATAAATAAATAAATAAATAAACAAGATATATACTTGCACAGTAGGGCCATCGGTTTCGCAACATAATAATATGAAGTTCGGTGACCCTGATGAGCAGAGCAGGCCTATGACATAGAACAAAAGTTCCAAGTTTTAATTAAAAACAGTTTTTTTATGTGATTGGTCCGCATACGAGCAGACAGATTACCTGATGGTAAGCAATCAGCGCCGCCCATGGACACCCGCAACAACAGAGAAGTTACGAGTGCGTTGCCGACCTTTTGGGGATTTGGGATTTGGGAGATTTAGGGATTGGGGCGGCATTTGGGGAGGGGAAAGTTCGGGCCTCCGGTAACCTCACTCACACGGCGAAACAACGCTGTATCTGTTTCAGTTTTATGATTTTTGTCTCCAAAGAAAGTATGGTAACCTGTCCTATATACATAAACGTCCTGTATATATAAAGTATGGTAACTCTTACAAATACCTGCGTGTTTGATAGTTTTTGTTTAGGTAGTTCATTATTTAATTTTCCCATTACCACGGATAGTTTATGTAAGTACGTGATTGTAACAGGGAAGAGTACGTCTGAACATAATACCTACTACTGTCGATAATTGACGCATTTATGTTTGTATATGGAAACTTAACTGAGGAAATTGGTAAATTAAATCAATTAATTAATTATTTACCCATATAAGGAATGTGTGCGGTTTATATGCTTACATAGGGCTTATACGCACGAGGTATACATATAACATCAGATACCGTGTCTTTCTAAGAAATACTAAGCCCTTACACAGATCTTAATCTTATTATAGTAATTTTAAGGCTTAATTTTCCATTATTGCAATTATGCTTTGGATGCAATTACGTCAAATTATTCGTAAGATAAGTAAGTAAAGGAATTCCATCATAAATTTGTAGTAAGTTTTTACCAGAATTATGTTGTAATAATAGTCTATATACCATCCAGTCAAAATCAATACTTTCTCTGTAATGTGAAATGAACGTCATATTACTGTGGTTTTTGAGATATTGCACGTTGTGAAGACATATTTTCTTTTACTTCTCTTATCTTAACAATTACGGTGATTATTAAGTATTTGGAAAATTAAAGTATTATTAAGTATTTGGAAAATTAAAGTATTATTTAGTATTTGTAAAATTAAAGTATTATTTAGTATTTGGAAAATTAAAGTATTATTTAGTATTTGGAAAATTAAAGTATTATTAAGTATTTGGAAAATTAAAGTATTATTTAGTATTTGGAAAATTAAAGTATTATTTAGTATTTGGAAAATTAAAGTATTATTTAGTATTTGGAAAATTAAAGTATTATTTAGTATTTGGCAAATTAAAGTATTATTTAGTATTTGGAAAATTAAAGTATTATTTAGTATTTGGCAAATTAAAGTATTATTTGGTATTTGGAAAATTAAAGTATTATTTAGTATTTGGCAAATTAAAGTATTATTTGGTATTTGGAAAATTAAAGTATTATTTAGTATTTGGAAAATTAAAGTATTATTTAGTATTTGGCAAATTAAAGTATTATTTAGTATTTGGAAAATTAATGAACATGCGATTATTTTGGAGTATATTTAAGTTGAAATAATTTTCTTTTTGACCAAGGAAACTACTTAATTGTGTGAATACCAAAAGACATTGGGATATAGAATATAAAGACAAAGTCAACAAAGTAAAACCTATTATAAAGTGCCTAGCTCAAAAGAAATAAAACAACAAATGGAAAAACTATTAAAACCAAAAAAATGTCAATCAATGTGACATGAACCACCTCTAAGCTATAAATAAATAATTCAGAACATTAGAAATAATTAAATAGAAATCCATAATGAACATCCCAGAGATCAAGTCTTATCAAGAACAAGCGATTGATACCGTCGTTTCTGTGATAAATCGGGCGAAAGAGAAGTTGGGGGTCAGACAGACCTTAAGACAACTTGCAAGTGAGTACAAGACAACATACACAACAATACCATGCAGTTAATGCAGAGTCTCAGAATACAGAACAAACCAGAAGGCGTTATCGGGCTTCAAACTGAAGCAACTAAGACCACTCTTTACTAGAGTATGAAATTTCTAGGATTAGTCAATTTTGGCACGTGGCATGTCGTGACGTATTTACGAGTGTCAATTTTAATTTCATTATGCCGTCTTGTGTTATTACTACGAGTAAAAATGCGGCTGGAAATACGAAAAAAGTGGATAAGATTACATTTCATCTGCAAGCATCGACTGCAATAGTATATTTAATTAATTATTGATTTTTTTTAATCGATTTATTTTTCTATGAAAATTATGCGGCCATTTTGTGAGTGTTGTCATTTTTGGTGAAAATTTTACCACTTATTTATTTTTGTGGGTTAAATTTCTGTCCATTATCTAACAAAAAAAAAACATACAAAGGGCACGGCTAGATTCATTTTGGAAACCATCTAGCCAGAGCATAGTTTGCTCAATTCACTTTGAAGAGATATATGTATTTATGACAAAGGTGGTTTGAAAACAGCATTTCCTACTAAGATATATCAATAGTAAGTATACTAATAATTATAATGCTGAAGAGTTTGTTTGATTGTTTGCTTGAATTCGCTAATCTCAGGAACTAAGTAAAGTAATTAGACTTCTAATCTTTAGTTCCGAGTCTAAAGACAATACATATTATAAAAAACTAAACCAGCAAAAGGGAACGCAATAAAACCTTCGCACTTATTGAAGCTTTGTTTTATTTGTTGTGTATTAGTAGTTGTAACTAAAATTAACATTAACATTTATAGTAAGTTTACCTATTTTTGTTGGGTTTACCCAACAAAATATATCTTACCCTCCTGTTGTAAAATTACCCCAAACCAAGGGAATTGTTCCACTGTCGGCAACACTACGCGGGTGGGAAGTGCGGCTGGCGGGGGGATTGACGTATTGTTTTTGGACACATTTGACGACATGTAATTATGAGTGAACGCGGCTTCTGGTTTGTTCTGTATTCTGAGTGCAGAGTAGAATAAATTTGTTTAAAAATGTAGTATTCAGTAGAAGTATTTTTGAGGAGAGAAGGCTATCCAGCATATGTCTTTTATTAAGAGGACTTAATAAAAGACATCTTTTCGAGAAAAACAATTATTCTAAACAAACCTTATTCCAAACATTCAGAAGCTATTTGGAATGCCTAAGGTTTTTTTTATGTGACAGTATGGCAAACGAGCATATATCTATAAAAATGTTCCAAAACTATACTTTATCGACCTTTTATCCAGAGTCGTTAAAAGAATCTGGATTATCTTTGCGGACAGAAGCACAACCATTACCTATGATCATTGGCATTCCGAAATTCCTGCTAAAAATTATTAAGTCAACGCTACATTAGCCCCCATCTCTTATTATATATCTTTGTGTGTACCTACTAAGTATTTCTTTGTGTTTGTCGTAAGAGCCGACTGATGAACTGCGTGTTCAATTAAAAATGGGTACCACTATTAAATTGCGATTTTCATCACGCCTGCTAAACTAGAAGACTATACCATGAAGAAGCCACCATCTCTGTACTATTTAAAAGAGGTTCATATCTCAGCAGTAGATTAATTGATACAAGCTGTTCGTGTCTGATCGGTATCGTTATCATTATTTCACGATGTTAACCGAAAGCGAGATATACCATTCGATAAGTGTCTCATGACATTTTGTTTGGATACTAAAATACTAATTGCTTCTTGGTTCCCTTTTTAAATTACACCATCTCCTACTAGGGTTTGTTTGCTGTATCCTGGATCAACAAAACGTTTAGTACAAGAAACCAGCCAGCGATCCACTGCTCGGCAACCAGTTTCTGAACCATGCATTGTGTCAACGATGCAGTCAATTTGACTATAGACCTCAATTAACTTCGTCTTCATTTCCATCCCAACCCTATTAAAATGTTAATCTATTTTGTGATTCAAATTTCAGATAGCCGTGAATTTGCCTGCAATGCCAAATTATCCTTGAAGGCCATCGGTCCGCCCTTTGCCATTACCTGTGAGAAATTTATCCTGAAGACGATAGAAAAAAAATGGAAACTCGCTGATAAATTTATGTACGTTGTTAGATACATGGGAGAGTCTAAAAATGAAGTGTCACAGTATTACTATTTTGAGGTGAGAGAAAACACTAAATATACATATACCAACCTACCCTAGATCTTGCATCTTGCGATCGGCGCCGCCCATAGACATGCACAACACCAGAGCAGTTAAAAGGGCGTTGCCGGCCTTTTGGGATTAGGATTCCGGACATTTAGAAATCGGGAGGGATGGAGGGAGTGGAAGGTTTGGAACTTCAGTAACCGCATTCACACGGTGAAACACAACACTGTGGTTGTTTCACGCCAGTTTTCTGTGAGACCGTGGTATAACTCCGATTGCGGACCCATTCATAAGCTTGGCTCTCTGCCCTTTTACAATTTTAAATTATTATATTTTAAATTATTAATGTATGATCCACAAGTCTTTGGTTGGTTCAGATCTCAAAATGAGATCTATGTCATGAACGACATATGAAAAAAATCCTTGTAAAGTACTTTTTATAAAAATAATGTATGAAATATCTTTCGATTATTGCGTCAGTTCGTAGTACGACCGCAGTTAGGTATGTTTTAATAAAATGTTTGTACTACGTTTTCCTCATCAACATGAAAATAGGTACTGGTGTACCGCGTGGTCATTAATGGAGGTAGGTATGACCTAAATCGACGTATTCACTGTGACGTAAATGAAAGTACATTGTGGGTATTAGGTAAAAACATAGCTGACATAGGCACATCAATTACTAGTGAGCACAAAATGGTCCAAGTGTGTTACCATGAGGAAGTCCCAGAATTAATACGCTTTGCTATAAAGTATGTAATGCTTGAAAGTATTTAAAAATTGATGGCTTCCACCGTCCTTCCACCAAAGACAGCTCGCCACTGACTCACATCTGTGCGCATGGGGCGTAGCGTTTTGCGCGGATCTTAAAAAGCCTAGACCACTACAAATGGACCCCAAAATGTTTGATGTTCAGTCATTGTTTTGGGTTAAGCACAATAGTGTAACCCAGTATGGTATGGTTTTTAGTCAGTAAGAGTTTGCACTCCCTTTCACTTGAGCCTGAGCGGGAAAACCGTTTGAAGATTTTACCACTCCTCAAAAAAGACACAGTATGTACAATTTTGTGAGGCAATCGTTCGAATTTATAGACACAAGGTTTAAACCACTAATCACAAAAATAAGGATGTTAAAATGATTTTATTACAGGCAATATTCAGCCAGCCGACAGCCTCCTACCCCATACCTCAGGCCACAGTATCAGTGTTCTTCATACTTGAAGACAAGCATACTGAACCAACGAATGAAAGAGGGGTGCCGATGGTAAGTAAACTGAATTAAAATTGTCATCAGTCAAGCTTGTCAGGCTGCATAGTTACGCCTAGGTATTATGATAACTGTCCCACTTTTGTTATTGGAGATATTAAAGTTGCTATTGAAATTAATAAAGCAAATATGTATGTCTATAATCGATACAATAGTATACGGAAGGAAATTAATGAGTATACCATTCAAAGAGATAAAAATGTTGATATAAGAGAGACCATAGAAATCATAATGAATAATGAGTGTACGTAGGTTAAAATGTACGTATAAGCCATCTTGCAGAAGCAAATGCAATAAGAAGACATTAATTATTATGTGTCACGTCAACGCTTTAGTTACTAAATGTAAGGGAATTACCATTATAATAGTAATTTAAAGGGATTTTGCTGTGATTAGTTACCAATTAATAGGTAATTAGAACCTTTTGACTGCACACTTGGCGCAATAGCTGGGAAACTGGTTGCCACGCAACGTGTTACGGGTTCGAATCCCGTACGAAACAATTGTGTGTGATCCACAAATTGTTATTCCGAGTGTGAGGTGTATGTAAAATGTTTGTAAACGCACACAAGGATTTTCATCGTTTTTTTAAAAGAAACGTCAATATGAGTATTGATACAGAAGAGTATGTATTATATAAAAAAAGACATAATTACATCATCTTTGACCAAATTAGAATAAATCTTAAAATAAACTGTTGTTATTAAACCTCGCAAATGCACTGTCCTGAGTAACATGTATCAAAATAAATTCATATGAATTATTCGGTTCACCTAAATTGTAATAATAAATTCGTCAAAAGCGACATGAAAATGTGTATGTGGCGCATCGCCAACACGAATCCTAATCCTAACTAATATTATAAATGCGAAAGTAACTCTGTCTGTCTGTCTGTCTGTCTGTCTGTTACGCTTTCCCGCTTAAACCTCGCAACCGATTTTAATGAAATTTGGTACAGACAATATTTAGACCCTGAGACAGAACATAGGCTACTTTTTTTTCGGAAAACAGGGATAAAGGGTTTGAAATAGGGGTTAAAAGTTTGTATGGGATTTCTTATTTTTTAAAGATAAAACCATGAAACTTAATATTTAAGCACTTGATAAGAAAATATGAAATATTTGTTCTAGCATTTTTGAAATTTCGACCAGCTATATAGGGGGGTGAAATAAGGGTTGAAATTTAGTATGCAATTTCGTCAAATATCGTTCGTACTACCATTTTAAAAATTTTATTTGTGTGATATGTAGTGAAATAGGGGATGAATTGAAAATAAGACCCGGAACGGATTCGAAACGGGATCTACAAAACCAACCTTTATGTAGGTATACGACATCTTAACTATTGAACCTAGGAACATGTAATTTAGAAGGGTTTTGTGTGTATCTTGATACACACAAAACAATAATTACAAAATTGTTCACTTTCGAAGTATAAATTCCTTTTAATGAACACTCTGCATCGCCGTCGCTGCCGTCGGCGTCGCGCACATTCGCCGAAGTGCGGCGCGGCGCTGTCGTGTGGTGGGGAAGCGCACGAATCTAACTATGTCTACCCGAACGGACAGACACGTGAGGACAGAGGTCGTTGTCGGGTGCGATAAGAGAAATTTGCGCTTTAGAGAATTACATTTTTCGATCCAGTAAAATTATTTTATTGTTTCGTCTATAACTTTTTAAGTGTTTTTTATTAATTAATCCTGTAAATAAATTTTGCACATACCTACTTATATTTCTTTTAGTTCATAGTTACAAGGTTACAAGTAGGTAAGATAGTTTCCGTTACTTTAAATAAATACGATTTGCTTTTATTTCCTTTTTTTATTCAATTAATCTAATAGCATCCTACTTTTGCAATGGATGTAAATAAGTACTTATCCAAGTAGGTGCAGGTAGGGTGAACAAAGGTTTTTTAATATAATAAATCTTAATCTGTACATCTGTTTTGTTCGATTCATTTCATTTCTGTTGTTCTACGATGCCTCGCAAACGAAAGTCCAATTTAGCTAAAAGCTCTAGCAGAGCTCGGGCTGCTAAACTTGCCAGATCACTGGAATGAGACTTCTCGACAGACCCAAGCTCGCCAAGCCATTGATGCCGAGCGTCACGCGGCTCAAAGAGCTGCTAAGACCTCTCAACAGTCCCAAGCTCGCCAAATCATTGATGCCGAGCGTCACGCGGATCAAAGAGCTGCTGACACCCAAGCCCGCCAAATCTTAGATGCTGAGCATCAAGCTTCGTACATAGCCGCAGAGACCTCCGAAGAAACACGTAGACGACGTTTAATTAATGCCGAGCGGCAAAGGAGACGTACGTTTACGATGAATACGTACGTGGGAGGCATTTGCCGATGCTGCTTTTAATTATGATCTGTTACTTGATTACTTTAATCATCGATGAATCCTCATAGGTAGAATGGCCAATAAAGAGACCCTAGGTATGTGCTGTTCTGGAGGCAAAGTATCAGTACCAACGCTTGATGACCCCGAGGAGCAACGACAGAAGTAAGGACAGCAATGAATCTCGGCGATTTTTCCTGTCATCATGCCTGGATTTTCACCCATATTTACGGTACAAGGGCAAGTTTATCATAGGATCTTTGCTTTCCACAAACAATGATCAACCAAAATTTCTACAGATTTATTTTATGGGAGACGAAAACAGCGAGGTTGACCGTTAAAGTCAAAATATTGAAGGAGATGAGAGGAATATTGTTTTAAAAATTCAAAGAATGTTGCACCAACATAATAACCTCATTAACACCTTCAAAACATCCTTAGAAAAAATGCCACGGGAAAATCACAAATTAGTAATACTCGCAGATCGTACGCCAAGCGGGGAACATGAAAGACGTTATAATGCACCCTTAATAAACGAAGTCGCTGCCATGGTGTGTGGTGAACAGTTCGCATCGCGCGATATTGTTTTTCAATCCCATGATAACACATTGATCAGGGTGTCCGACACACACAAGTTTTATGACGCACTACAATACCCGCTTATGTTTAGCAATGAGCAAGAGGGGTACCGTTTTGCTCATTGCTAAACATAAGCGGGTATTAAAATGGTACTCCTTGGCTGGCCCCTGTCAGAGTCTCTTAGACATAAGGGACCAGGGTTGACAAAAACTAATTTGACGCGGGCGAAGCCGCGGGCGGAAGCTAGTAATAAATACAATTAAGTACTAAGTATTGTTAAAAATGAATTTAGCATTTAACTCTTACCTTTAAATCGTTTTGGAAATAAAAATTCACCTAAAGTTACATAAGACAATAATCGAATTCGAGATTTCATTATTCAGTACAAAATCGTGCTTAGATGACTAAATTTGGTTTGGTTAAGACATCGAGGTAGCTTTCCAATAACAATGGATTGCTAAGCAAGATGTAATCCTAAGTAGTCGCTCTACGCCAATAAGGCAGCTCGCATTTCTATTAAGTAGTAGGTATATATAATTATAAAACTCTTTCAAAAACTGGGCTCTCTTCTTAAGCAAATGGCACCAACAGATTTTTTCTAACTTTTGTTTTATTGCACTTGTGTACATGTACAGTAGATACAAATTATCTATGTATGTGTGTTTGCTTGTGCAATGAAATCTTGCAACTAAATCTTGAAGCAGATATCAATCTTATCTTCAACCGTTTGAACTGAAAATTTGTATACACGTTCAGTTTACATGACTATGTATGCCAATCTATGTCTTTACCAAAAACCCATGCCATGCCATTAATAAAAACAAAAATTAAAAAGGTTTAAATTCATTTCTTTGTTGTTGTTTTCTCCACACATACTTATATCATTTACGTCGCAGATGGCTAAATATCTAACTTTTTCAGTTGTAGTCAAATTCGGTAAAGAATGAGCCTCATACTCAAAGTAGGTAACAGAAATTTTCAAAAGATGGAATGTGAAGATTATAAAGCGCTTTTTTCCCTATTCCAGATGTTCTTCAGAGTCGAAGGTCACCACACAGAACACGACATACGCTTTGTAGCGCTTTCCGCTGACTGGATTTTGGCCATGCTCAAAATGAAGATCAAACTATTCCAGAGAATTGAGACTATACGAATGTTTTGATTTTTCAAGAGTTGTAATTTTGATCACTTCTTTTAATAATGATTTTAATACAGTTGATATAATACATTTTTGTTCTAATCTATAATTGTATAATATGAAACAAACAAACAATGGTTTTAAAGTAATTTAAATCATTTCTTAACATATAATTTTACCTAAAAGAATTTGACTTAAACATTCAGATAATAATATTGGCAAATAAAATATTAGATAAAGATCAGGTTGTTATAAATAAAGAGAATCGAAATAATTAATTAAAAACCGAAGCGAATCTAGACACGAAATCTTCGAATTGCAAAAAGTTTCCAAGCATCCATACAAATCACAATAATTTAGAAGAACTACTAAAATTATCGTTTTATACACGGTAAAAAAATAGCATCTTAAGTTAGTCATTCATTGATTTTACTCGTTCTCAGAAGGACGTATGATAATGTATAATCGATGTCATTGCGAAATATCTTGCATTCTCAACTGGGAAACTGGTTTAAAGAATTTTGTAGTCTGCGCAATGGTACTGGTATTTTCATACTAAGAAAACTTTGTTTGGACATGTTTTACTAGAGGTACTGGCTTAAGTTATTGAATGCTTACTAAGTATTTATTTAAACAATATTTGCTTTTGTTGTGATCATATTTTACAATCGTTAATAATAATTGTGGTTGGCCCAAGATATGAACCCTGAGAATTCCTATATCATTTATGTCCTTCAGACGTTACACAGTTAATGATTTCAGTACCTATTTCTCTGTGCTTTTGTTATTCTGGCTTACATGCGTTATGTTTCTACAGTAGGGTGGGACGAGTATCTATGGAGTATTTTTATATTTATTGTTTTTACCCCTTCGAAATAAGATATATTTTGTTAAGAGGTTAAATAATAAATTCAATGACCTTCAATGAAATATATACAATCGATCAATTCCTATCGAATTAACGCCTACTTACACGTCGGTCATTAACACGTTTGAATAACATGTCTTACAAGCGACGACGAGGCAAAAAACAGACATTTTAAAATATCTTAGTTAATGCACAATGGTATCAACTTTATCATGCGGTTACGACCACTAAAATAAGGGCCGGTCATACTCTCATAAGTTGCAATTCAAAAACGAAATGAAAACCTGAACCTGCCGAGTGTAAGTTTTCATTTGCTCACGCGATTGAAACAATACCGCATTTAGTCCTCTGATTGGTTGATCAACTTGTACCAGCCATTCAGAGCGCTTAACGTCATAAACGTGTCGATCGCCTTAACGCAAAGCAAATTAGGCACTCTGTACCTGCTACATTTTCTTACCTAATATTTTTAAGTCGAGTAGGTAACGAACTGTAAGCGCCTTGAAACTTTTGCTTCTAACAATTCAACCTGTACTGACTGACAACGATAGAATGCAGCATACTTTTGCCCAATAACTGCATTCATATTACTGCACCAGCTATATAGCTACATCTTACACCTTCAAAAATACTTCCGTTTCTAAGAATCGAACCACCAGTTCATTCGCTTGATGAGTCATGCGCCGGCGCAGTAGATTTGCGATCAATGTCCTTGCATAACTTTCACTTGGTAACACTGAGATTTATATGTAAATGACGAGTTTTGCACGCAACCGCAGTGTTGTCAGTTAACAAAAACGTGTTTTTGAAGGACAAACTAATGAATTTTGTTAATGAGATTATGGTGTTATTGTGCTACCTGCTTTCTCCTCTTTTGTTTATAACAATAAAAGGTAACGGTTTTTAAAGTGTTGGTCTGGGTAGTCTGTTTTTTGTTTTAGTTGTTATTTCGGTTTTAATGGAAAGTATTTTTAATGTTTTCTGATAATGAAACAATTTATTTTGAATAGCTTTGCCGAAACCAAGATCTTATAGGTCCCTGGGACACCGCACGTTTGTCTATTGGTGGTTTCATGGTTGTACCCCTACGTTAGATCCTAGCTTAAAGGAGTAATTCATTGAGCAAAACAGGAAATTAGGGATACTTATATAAAATATATTATGTATTATTATGCAATCTTCAATAACTATACGCATCAGTCATGGCATGAATCACATTATTATACCTAAAAGCTGATACAATAAAAACATTAATGACCCAGAACAGGTAAACTTTTAACAACTCAATACCAAAATAAAAAACAAATCCGTGGGAATAACAAAAACCGGTTAGCTATTATCCTCATTGTTAGAAACACCAAGCATTCAAAAAGGTTATATTTCTAACCATCAAGTTCCCGATAAATAGATAAAAAATTTACCTGGCCGGTTGTAACTCACCGGTCCGTTCGCGCCATAATAACAAACTGTCATTCTATCGCGCATGCGCGTAGCGTTCGCACGGCCGTCGCGTTTACCGCCATATTTGATTTATTCGGAGTGTAAACACAACTGTTTTTGAATTAAAAAAGTGTTTTAAGTAAACAGTGATAATGGTGCGCACTTTTAAAATAGTGGGTTGCTTTAAAGTGCCAAAACGAGGTGGTAAAGTGGTACCAGCGTCGAGTGGCGATGGAATTTTCACAATCGACATGTCTTCTACCTCCACCATAGATGTTGTTGTAAGTTAATTGCAAAATACTGACCTATCAGGTAGCTAAATTGAATTGTCGTGTTATAGGAGGGAACCGTATGATTGATTTTTACTCTTTGATAAAGTTGTGTTAACTTCAGTCACCTGTTTAAATGTGACGTCATTCGAATGTAACCGAATGTAACCTTATTAGAAGTTGGCCATCAATTTATGATAAGATTGACAGCGTATGGCCTTAAAGTAGTCACTGCAGTTCTCTGTGGCTCTTTCACAAAACAATATTACAAGCAGACTTATTTTACAATTTCTTAAGTAATTAATTAGTTAATGATTACATTTAATTACCACGTTTCGTATAAATAATGATTCCACAGTGTCACATGTTTTATTTTGTACAATATTAGTGATACCGAGTTACCAGTTTTATATTTTTAACGTGACATTGACATACACAATTAGCACTTTAATATCGATCACGACATTGAGTAAAAAACAGTTTGAAAACATATCTTTTAGAAATAAGGAAGCAAAAATTATAAATTAAAAACATCACAAATGACCCTATACTCAATATAACATTTATGTAATAGCCACAATTTCGAACTAACTAGGTGCTTCATTTGTGCAAAATTAAATGAACAGATTAACTTACATTCAGACGGCATCACGTTATTACTAGTCTAATGCAGTGATCAAGTTATTTTCTACGCATACAAAATACATGTATCAGGATCAGCACATAATGATAATACTGATGAAGAAATGACTAAAGCCACAGATCTCGATGATGGTGCAAATCTCATGAATTTTAAACCAGGTTGTTTGTTCGTGAATTTACTAAGCAAATACGTACAAGAACTCGAGTATGTATGAGACATGCATAGAGCACACACCCAAAACTGTTAAACTTTAATAGATCATTGACTTTATAAAAACACCATAAGGTTGAAAACCTATAGCAGAAACTAATATAACTAAAACGTGAGTTGTTTTGATTTTCGAAGTCTGTACTATCAGGTTGTGGAATGAGTTACCTGTCTGTATTATCTCAATAGACTGCAGCATGGGGTTTAAAAGTGAAGAAAAAAACGGACCTTAAACTGTCGCGGTAAACCGTCGTAAGCGATATCTATTCTGTTGGAAATGTCCATAGATTACGGTAATTGCTTTTTATCAGACGGACCGGTGGCATATGTGGTATTCTGCTCATCATTACTTTAGACTCAAGATGTCTACTGCACATGGCTTCAGGGTTAAATACTTACCTCTTTTCAATCACTCAATAAACAGTCACTTTTGATACATCAAAATTAGGTAACACGTCATTATGTTAGAGCCATGCTTCGGCACGAATGTGTCGGCTCGACCTGAGTGATGCCACGGCCTCACAGAAAACCTGCGTGAAACAACTACAGCGTTGTGTTTCACCGTGTGAGTGAGGATAACAAAGGCCCAATCTTTGCCTTCCCCCAATCCTAAAATCTCCAAATCCCTTATCCCCAGAAGGTCGATAGCAAATTTGTTGTTGGTGGTTTGCCGACTTATCACACCAAAAAAAGTGTTTTGTCAATGCTCAGTAAGGATCTGCATCCTAACACGTAGTCACACTTATTTTAGTTGTCAACAGTAGTAGGTTTAAGTAATAGTTGACGTCACAACATCTGGTTAATCCAACCTCAAACTAATAAATCGCCCTACGTACGGGTAGTAAAAACGTGAACTTGAAAATTTTCCTTGTGTTGTATTTGTAAACAAATATCGAGGCACACAACCCTGTGGAAGTATTCCAAAAATGCTCAAATACATTTTATGCTTTCGTGCATACCAAATGTTATGAGCATTAACTTAACACGCTCGATGATTACTATATAATGTAGCCGGTGAATACAATAATTGAAACTATTTCAGCGATTTGAAAACATCAGTGAGAATTTGATCACATCAGTGACAGTCCATAGAAAACGAACTTATTTTATTTTATCGCTTGTTGAAAATACGATTGAACACCACACGGACAAAAATAGAATTGTGCTTGAAGTAAACCATAGTTTGGTAACCAGATAGTAGGATGTTTAGAAACACCATTTCTAAACTTCCTATTATCTTTATGACAAAATTTCACCTTCAAAATTCTCAGTTATTTGCATTTCATATTCAGCTACAAGAGAAAGGTGGCATTGAGTTTTGAATGATAAAACTTTTAACATAAAGTTCAATGTCCTTTGGCATTAACAATAACAATAGATCACACTTGTAATAAATTTCACAGTCCATGGTTGTCAAATCTAGTATTGAGAAGAAACTGAGAAAATAAATAATATTAAAATTTAATTTGCATGTAGTTGACAACTTTTCTTCCCAAACTGGGTACACCTGTATGCTATACTTGTTAAAGGCTTATTTATTGTTTCGCTTAGCGCTTTTAGCCTTGTAATCCAATCTGGTCCTGTCTTAATATCTTTCAACTATTTGGAATCAGTCTAAGAGTCTTCAAAACAACTTTCTACTTTACCTTATTTAAAACTATTAACTGTTCCATAGTCCTTCTTCCGCCTTTACTCCTGCACTTACATATAATTTTGAGTATTTAATCAAATTCATCGTGTGTATATTTTAAAATCCATCATTATCATTATTAGTTCCATCTCACTGGTCCATATTATCAAAATTCTCATTCACGGAACAATGTTACTAAATAACACTGTTTACTACATTCTATATATAGAGCCTTATCATTTCGTAGACGTGTCTCACAAGTCTAACTTTGATTTACAACGACAATACAAATCCCATTTGTGTGACGACTTATTGAAAGATAACACGGACTTGTGGTCTGCTAATTGATTCGGTTGATGCAAAATATGTGCGTGATGAGACACTGTTTATCTTTATATCTGAAAATTTATCTGCAATCGTGTGCCGTCTTGTTTGGACTATGAATAAGGTCATTGTTCGAAATCGGATTTAGTATTGGTTCTGAACTCTTAGACTTTAGCTCACGATTTTGGTGCACTTCTGACTTGTTGTTTGTGTGTACTATGCTGTATCGTCTCACATTCATTTCTACTATAGCTTAGGTTTCGTTTTTTGATCAATGGTAATTTTTGTATTGATGCGTGCAAAGTACAGAGATAAGCACTGTTATGTGGATGCGTGGATTGTTTGTAGTTTTTGCTTCTTCGTATACCACAAATGGGACTTAGATCTGGCATACATATAGACCATGACTTAATTGTGTGTTACTTTAATCTAAATAATAATGGAGTGAGTATAATAATTAGTCATGTTACATTCTCTTTGCAAATTGAGAGCACTTAATTGATTGATATCATTAGACATTTTGTAGAAATTTTAAGAAAACCAGCTAATATTGATCGCATAGAAAAGTAGATTATAAAAGACACGCGTTCAATAAAAAAAACTTCTAGAAAGCTAAAGATATTTTGAAGTAAATGGGGGTGAAAGTAACATTAATGCACTTAGGAAATGAGCTGTCTATCGTAATGAGCTGTTGTGATTGATATGTGAGGTAGAACATATTAAGTGAATGTCATACAAGTATATGTTGTCGATAATTCTGTTATGAATACAGTATTGACCTTCACAACAGAAGATAAACAAGTAGTATGGGAATAATGTTTGCATACAAAAGATTGTTTACAATGGAAGAAAAGATCGAAAAGTAAACATAATTATATGTATAGACTTCTTGAGAAAAGAAAGCCAGTGAATACAAAGAATCACATGGTAGTGATAGCATCATAGATGTAACAATCTTAAGCGTGACTACCAGAAATTGCGATTTGGTTGCGGCCTTAATTCTTAAGTCCGAAAGCTTAAAATCCAAGGTCCTCTTGCCTGCTCAAAATCTTGACTATGGAACCAATAATATACCTGATGAATAAAGATATTTTTATCAGAAAACGCTAAGGTCGGTGCTACTTTAACGACTCAACTATTAACTAAAGCGTTCAATTAAGTCCTGACTGCAATTTATCTATTTTTTACGTTGTATTCCTGTGCATCAGCCATCAATCTTTTTAATCACTTCTAGTCTCTAAGGTCTGAACGGTAAAACATAGAAACATCTTCAACATTTTAAACAAAAATCACCTTTTCTGTTCAGAAAATAAAGTGCACTGCTGTTGTTTGTGATACCATCACAGCTTCGGAGCTTAAACAGGAAATATCAGTTCTGTTTCTTACAAAATAGAGTCTGGTATTCCAATGCAATTATTTTCAAGAATGATTTATAATAGTTTTGAATAATTTAGTTTCTTAAAAGCTGTTTGCTGTCGTATTTTTTATTATCTTATCATTTTTTTGTTTGTACTACACTTTACAGACAAATGCTAATGTTGAAATGATAAGGCGTGTTTTTTCTGCTAAGACCAATAGACTAACTCCTGATTTAACATTCATCTTATAAAAAAATACTTATATATGAGGCATTTTCACCAAGTAGTTTTTCTTTATTCTTTATATCATAATGGGCTGACATTTTGCCGCCATGATCCCTGGTGGTAAACGTTGGTGCGACCTACAATGGAGCATGCTTACCCATAAGCAACTTATTCGATAGGGCCTTGAAGTCATCCTAGTTTCTATTTAAGACCATGTTTCTAATTTTACTGGCTTCAGATTTGAATTCCTTGTTGTAAACGACGACGACGATCTTGTGACAGCAAAACTATTTAGCAAAATAGAAATGTCTGATCACATTATACATTATTGGTAAGTAAGCATTCCGGCAATCTGAAATAAAGACTTTTTTTCAAGTACAACTTTCAAAAGTCTTAATATATAGATGGTTGCAATCGGTTGAAAATTGAATAAAAATCAAAGCTGAAAGAGCATTCTCACCACAATCAACAAGTTAATCGAGCAAATGATTCTGAAAAAAAAACCCAATAATTGAACACAAATCGATCCGTGCATTGCATGTTCTAAAAATAACCGACCAAATAGAAAATGTTATTCGTGAAGCCTTTAATGGTGCACACGTGACTTCTTAAATAGTTCGTGCTA